AGTAATTTGGGCCCCTTAGAGTTCATATTATTGATAAATGATCTCCCAGAGGTCATTAAGGTCTCGAAATGTCTCCTATTTGCAGACGACTTAAAACTGTTTTTGTCGGTAGCAGACGTTTCGGATTGTGAGCAGCTTCAGCGAGATATAGATAGGGTCACATTGAAGATATCTGCGGTAAGGCATTCCGAAACTTAGGGTTTATCATAAGGAATTGCAGGGATTTTCTTAGTACGGCGATTATTAAAGTTTTATACAATGCACTTGTTCGCAGCCGGCTGGAAACGAGTGTAATTATTTGGAATCCCCATGAAGATAAATATATCAACATGGTGGAAAAAATTCAAAATAAATTCACGCGGTTCCTTTATTTAAAGGAGTACGGCGTTTATCCTTTCTACCCGCTGATGTACCCGAGCATGTTCGTGATCGGCATGGTCGGGTACAGCCAGCTTGGTGTGAGGCGGGACGTCGCACTCTGCAAGTACGTGTGGCGAGTCTTGCGTGGCCAGCTACACCATCCTGAGGTACTGGAGGTGTTGCAGCTGTTTGTGCCTGATAAGGCGGTGGTTAGGCGTCGCCCACATCCCACCTTTAAGGTGCCGCACGCGAGGACAAATCTGCTCAGGTTTGCACCTATGTCGCGGGCTTTAAAGTTATTGAATATTATTTCCGAAGAAACGGACATTTACCACTGCAGCCTGGCAAAGTTCACAGAAGCGGCGCACAGGGTTTGTGAGATTTTATTATAAATTTTTTTTTCTTCTTTCTTTTTTTTTCAATTTATATTTTTGTTTCTTAATTATAATTGTATAAGTATATATTTTATGTCAGTAGTTATATTTATCAGTTATTGTTTGGTTTTTGTACAGCATCGTCTTGGTTTTGTACTGTTATGATGTTGTTACTGTTTTTGTAATAAATAAATAAATAAATAAATATTGGCAAGATCCAAGGAAAACGAAGTGTGGGTCAAAGAAGAACATCTTGGATGAAAAACCTACGCCAATGGTTTGGAAAGAGCACCCGTACCTTATTCAGAGCCGCGGCATCAAAGATCCAAGTTGCCTTAATGATCGCCGACCTTCGAAAGAAGATGGCACTTTAAGAATAAGAAGATATATTAACGATCCACTTCACCTGGATATGATCTGTTAATGTTAATTTTTTATGATAAAATGTAGACCATATCCCTCCAGGCCTCTCTATCGGTTCGTAGAATTTCATCACGATAGGTTCACCCATTTCGGAGATTAGCCCAGGAAACAAATGGACGATTTAAAAAAATGGTTATTTATGTTTGGATAGCATGCAAATAACCACTGAGCTTAATAGAAGCTAGTTATTAAATTATTACAGACATATATTTATATGTATAGATGTATAGATTATAGCGAACCGCATGTTTGAATGATGCACACAACGAAGTATGCTTCAAATAATTTTGTATCTCGTAAACGTAAAAATGAACCAGATATTTTTCACCTTAACTATAATAGTTATAAAAAATCACTATAGGTTGTATTATTTAGGGTGCAAGGGGCTCCGCTAAGATCTTGGAGCCCAAGCCAACCCCGCCTGCACGTGGCGCACCTGCTGGACAACGGAAAGGGCTCTGGCGATGCCACTCCTCTAGGATTCGTCCTAGGGGTTCGGGGGTCAGACGGCAGTCGCCCCGGTAATTGGCACTAAGCCACTCAAAAATGGAAAGTAAAGGAAAGAGATATACGTTTAGTACTAGGGCGTCGCCGCATAACGACGCGCATGGGGATCGCCTTGACCCTGCGACAAGTATGCGAGGGCTACCGGACCCCATGCGAGCCCGGCTAAAGACGTTAGCACCAACTACGAAGATTCGCTTTGCAAACTGGAACATTGGCACGCTTACGGGACGCTCCACAGAACTTACGGCCATATTTGCCAGGCGTAAAGTGGCAGTGGCGTTCCTGCAGGAGACGCGGTGGAAGGCCAAAAGGAGCCGGAATATTGGGCACGGCTACAAGCTGATCTATACAGGCTCTTCTGGTGGGGAGAACGGTGTGGCGGTTGTGCTCGCCGAGCATTTCCACGATAGCGTCTTTGAAGTTAGACGCATATGCGACAGACTAATGGTAGTAAGGTTGGTTATTGAGGGGGTCGTGACCCACGTAATAAGTGCCTACGTCCCACAGGTCGGCTGCAGCGACGCGGATAAGACGCTGTTTTGGGATCGGCTCGGTGATGTACTATGCGGCATACCGTTATCCCACGATGTCGTTTTGGGAGGCGACCTGAACGGTCATGTGGGCGAGGTGCAGGGGGAGTATGAACGTGTCCACGGTGGCTATGGTTACGGCCGAAGAAACGCAGAGGGGGAAACTATTCTCAGAACCTGCACTGCAGCCGACCTGGCCGTGGTGAACACGTTTTTCAAAAAGAAAACCGAGCAGCTGATTACCTACAGGAGCGGTCGGAACGCCACTCAAATCGGCTATCTACTGACCAGGAGAAGTCATATCAGTCGCGTGGCCAACTGTAAGGTCATACCCGGTGAGTGTCTCACTCCCCAACACAGACTTCTTGTCATGGACCTCTGCGTAAAACCCCGTCGCCGACACGCCGAACGTTGCCGCCGTCAAATCAAGTGGTGGCTGCTGGATCAAACCAGATACTCAGAGTTTGACTATGCCGCTGGGGATATTAGTCTCGACACAGCAGGCAAGTCCATTCAAGAGTGCTGGAAAACCATTCAGACAGCAATCACAAAGACGGCAAAGCAAGTCCTCGGCGTGGTGAAAGTGGGTCGCAAAATCGACAAGGAGACCTGGTGGTGGGACGCCACAGTCCAGGTTTCACTACGGGAGAAGAAAGCGCTCTTTAAGACGTGGCAAGCGACCAAATCTCCTGAAGATCACGCATCTTACAAGACAGCGAAAAGAGCTGCCAAGAAAGTTGTAGCCAGAGCCAGGCGTGACCACTTGCAACCATTATATGCTAAGTTGGACACTCCTGAGGGGCACAAGCTCATATATAAACTGGCGCGCTCTAAGGCCAAAGCAGCCCAAGATATTACTCGCTGCTGCAGCGTCAACGGCCCTAATGGCGAGCTCCTTCAGCGTACGATGATCGTGCGCTGAAGGAGAGATGGCACTCTTATTTCCACGTTTTGCTGAATACTCAGCACCGGGAAGTGCACCCTCTCGAACAACTCCCGAACCATGGACTCATGCCGCCGATTACGCCTGACGAGGTCCTCGCATCTCTTCGTCACATGGAGAATCGGAAAGCTGTCGGACCGGACGAGGTGCCAATTGAAGCGTGGAAAGCGCTGGGGGCTCGTGGTGTGTGCATTCTTACTAACCTTTATAATAGAATCCTGAGCGACCGAATAATGCCCGATCAGTGGTGGCTTAGTATAATAACGCCGGTCCACAAGGGTAAAGGGTCCGTTCAGGATTGCGGTAATTACGGCGGTATAAAGGTGACGTCACACACCATGAAGCTCTTCGAGCACATTATTGACACAAGGATCCGACAGTAGTGTACAGTATCGGACTCCTAGTACGGCTTCCAACCAGGACGCGGTACCATGGACCCTATATTCGCCCTAAGGATCCTCATGGAGAAGCACAGGGAAAAGAATATGCCTCTGCATTTTTTATTCCTAGACCTGCAGAAGGCCTTTGACTGTGTTCCTAGGGAGACGATCTGGTGGGCGTTGCGGTCGAAGTTGGTTGGTACGTGACATGTACCACAACTCCGATTCAATAGTCAGGACCGCTGTTGGTGATACCACCCCTTCCCTATAACTCCGTCTTAGCCCCGATCTCTTCAGTGTGATATTAGACGAACTGTCAGCCAGCGTACAGAAACTACCGCAGCCTTGGCTGCTTATGTACGGTGATGATATTGCACTGGTAGATGGGGACAAAGGACGGCTCACTAGACGCGTGCACGCATGGAGGGAGCTGCTTGAGAACGGCGGGCTGAAGCTAAATGTGGCGAAGACGGAGTATATGGTCTGCAACGGCACAGATCTGATGTCTCTCTGTATAGGCGACGACACCGTCGAGCGCCCGGACAACTTCAGGTACCTCGGATCTGTGCTCCGGGGACATCGATCGCGATATCAAGGCCCGTATATCAGCGGCCTGGGCGAAATGGCGCGAGGTGTCATTTGTGACCCCAAAATGCCGGTCAAGCTGAAGGGACAGGTCTATAAGACCACCATAGGGCCTGTCCTTACGTACGGCAGTGAGGCGTGGCCGGTGCTGGAGCGACACCGGCAGTTGTTGCATGTCACAGAGATGAACATGCTGCGGAGGATGTGTGGCGTCACGCGGAAAGACCATGAACGGAATACATACATCCGCGGCAGCCTCCATGTTGCTGACAAGCTGCAGGAAAGTCGCCTCCGCTGGTACGGCCACGTCCTACGATGACCGGCAAGATACGTGGAAAACAAATGCCTGGACATGACCCTATCTGGTACCAGGAGTAGAGGACGGCGCAAGAAACGCTGGCTTGATGTCGTGCAGGATGACATGCGCGCCAAAGGGCTAGTTGCGAGGGACGCCGAAGAACGGGAAAAGTGGAGGAGGAAGTGTAGGAAAGCGAACTATGGGTTCTCCCGCGTTGGGCGGGATGAGCAACCGGGATAAACGCTAGGTAGAAGAAGAAGAAGAAGATTGTATCACTTTTTACTGCTTAGTACTTAATGTTTAATTATAAATATCATTTAATTATTTTTTTAAATCTTTAAACATATTGTGGTTGCAAGCTTTTAATATGTATGAGATATCTGTGGAAACTTCATTGGTTTTTATTGCACTGTATGTTTCCCTTAAAAATCAAATAAATAAATAAATAAATGATAAGAATAACTTGCTTCATTTGTGCAAAACACATACTCATGGTTTTTATACAAAGAAATATCTCGACGATGACGACGACCTCCACAAAATATGACTCCTGTTAACTTTATCAGAGGAATAAAAAATTATTGATTAATTTGACCATACCAATGATAGTACATTTCTGTAGCTGGTTGGTTTATACACGGAGAGAATGTAACCTGCTATCAGACCTACGAAGTAAGGAACTGCTCGCAAGTGACTCTGTACATACATCGGTGAGCCCAATATGTGTTTACGATTATCTTCAATTGTCCTGCAATAAAAAATTATCTATCATAATAAATATAAAGCACTCCAATTTTGGTCAAGGCGGCCAGTTGAAACTAGCCATCTGAGCGGAACAGGATTAAGGTGCATGCGTTTGTGTGTGTGGTGAGCCATAATTAATACCCCTAGCACCATCTAGTGTCACGTAGCAGAGCGAGGAGAGCTTTCTAGAAAATGCCATGCTAGAACTTTCCACCTCCAGCGCCATCTAGTATCGCGTGGCAGAACTAGGAGAGCGCTTTCTCCACTTAGTAGGTTGGGACCGGTATGTGCTCGAACATTCGGGATGTTTCAGTGAAAATAGTCCTATATAAAGGCGTTAAGTTCCGCGATCGAGTCAGTATTGAATTGGCGATACAAGAGAAGCTTCGGAGCGAAATAAAGTGAACTAAAGTGATCACCGTTTTTAATTATTAGTGTGTTTCAAGTTTTAATTGGTGTGCGGTAATTAAAGTATCAATTTTGGTAATTCTATCGGCAGTTTTTATTGTCATGATCCCTAAGCTCGTAACAGTATGCTAGCACAGGTGCATTCTCTAATTTCTTATTCTCAAAGTTTAGTGGGATAGCAATCCAAAACAACCGAAAGAGGTCAGATGCAATACCAACGACTACGTGATTTTGGAGTTAAAATATCACCAACTTCCTAATTCTGGGCTGTTATTGAGAATTTCTTGATGGAAAACTTAGTAACAGATTTTCGACTCGAAGTTCGAACCTGTGACCACACGATCAGTAGTCGTGTATATGACTACAAGGCAACGAATGCATGATAATTCAAATATAAATGAAGAAATAATGTAAATAAATACTGTTTGTTAAGATGTATTTCTAGCCGACCTATTTGTGCCGCAGCCTTATTGACTCTGTTCCCTCTTTCTGTTTTGGATAGATTGTTTTATGGGAGAAGAAGCAATCGAGAATACGACTCACCTGATGGTAAGTGACTACTACTGCCCACGAACAACGGCAACATCAAGGGAATTGCAATTTGGTTTTTGTTTTTTTTTTTTTTTTAAGGTTACGGTGCCGGTCGCCTTTTTTAGGGATCGAGTACACTATAACTGTCTTCCATGAATTCTGGACTACGCTCAGGGAGTTAAATTGATTGAAAATTTATATCTATCTGTTTTCGCTAGTTCGTCCCTGGACAGAAATATTTGAGAAACAATGGTAAATTGAAAAATAGATTTTCAATATGTATTACCTTGTAACATTTGTCAAATAAACATTGTTCCTATCAAATACTATGCGACTACTATATCAATAAAAATACTAATCTATCAAATACTAACAATCTACCCCGGCTTTGCACGGGTGACTTCAGGATGTAAACAACAGTGCCACCTACTGGATCCAACTGTGAATTTAAACCATCCAGGGACCATCTATTGAGCTATTTTCGAGTTTTAGCGGGACTAACGGACACCTATTGACTTTATAAATAGAGATAACACAAAAATAAGAAAACTTACTCAAAATCAAAGACGGTTATAGCACTTAGCTGATTTAAGTACACGTTGAGACCAGGCAGTATTAATGAAACTATTGTAACAAGTCCAAAGAAGTACAGACCACCGCGACGGTTTTTCTGATACAGCCAATACATAATTGTACTGACTGAAGCCAAGTGAAAATCGGCCGGTACGTACCACGTTACCTCCATACACTGAAAATGAATTTTTTTTGTAAAAATTAAGAAGTCTGAAGAGGAATCTCACGAATATTACGAAACTTACAATATTTGAAGAGTCGATATAGTTGCCCAACATTAGTAGACCCACCAACCAATTTTTCTTGCATACGTCGTGCTCTACTTTTGCGTACTTAAACCATAATGGACCGCCGTAAAAGTAAGGTGAGGCGGTGGTGGTTATTAAGATTATGACAATAAAGACCCATATTAGCCTGCAACAAAATTTTAAATGTGATCTAATATTTAGGTTATTATGTCAGTTTATTAATAGAATCAGATGTTATTTAAAAATAAATTAGCTAAGATCCCTGTGTTCAAACAAAATGTCTTGCCTAATTTGAAGAGCATCTCCAGGCCTTCCTCAATTTTGTGCACTATGCCCGTTACCACTAATCCCAGCAACATTACGCTAAAGGAAAGACACACCACTGTCTGTGATAATACGACAAGTATTTCGCCTCTAAACTGCGGGTGAAGTAGACTCCACAAATTAGCGGTAATTCAAAAAGAACGGGAAGTGTTATTAAAACCAGCTAAGACACATAATTTTATTTTATCACGTTGATCTAAGCCAATTAATTTTTAAAATTTTTAATTATTGTCATCATTGTATCAGTCTTAACGCCTTGATTTTCTATTGTCATCAACTATCTGCTGGGCACGGATTCACAATTCTCCATTTTAATTTCATAAACCTGTGTGAAGGAAATTGGTTAGTATAGGAATAATTGCATTCACTACGATTGGTGGATAAGGTTCGATAGCCCAAACTTTACAAACAGGTAATAGACTTCGCCATAAAAATATCCGCAGTAGAACCAGAGTGTCCGACATAGATCAACGAATTATTCATCACAGCATATAAAAGTTCACTGTTGAACATAGGACGCGTATTGGGCCAGCGAGGTATAATGGAACGTATGTACGCTGTAACTTTACTTTCCTATGTTAAGTAGTGGTATTTGTTTGTGGCCTATATTTATTTATCTATGTTCAGCAGTGACCTTTGCTTGTGGCCTATATTTACTTATCTATGTTCAGCAGTGACCTTTGTCTGTGGCCTATATTTACTTATCTATGTTCAGCAGTGACCTTTGTTTGTGGCCTATATTTATTTATCTATGTTCAGCAGTGAACTTTGTTTGTGGCCTATATTTATTTATCTATGTTCAGCAGTGACCTTTGTTTGTGGCCTATATTTACTTATCTATGTTCAGCAGTGACCTTTGTTTGTGGCCTATATTTACTTATCTATGTTCAGCAGTGACCTTTGCTTGTGGCCTATATTTACTTATCTATGTTCACTCTCTTACTCATCTAAGTGCCTCTGATGGACTGACATGAATGAATGAATGAGTTCCAAAAGTGTGTGCTTTTTTTTTGCGCCCAAAGCAAATATGGGCAACCCTTCGGAAAACGGGGGAGGGAGGTGGGGAATGCTCATAGCATACCACGCAGCCGGCTGCGTAGTTATGTGGAGACTTTTACCCACTAAACCCCACCTTTTAGGGACTGGCTTAACGGTCAAACTAGAGATCTCTAAGCCGTATACGAACGCGACCCTCCTTGGCAGAAAGGAGGGCGCAGGTGTGTGCTCATTGATCCATCCATAATATAGCTGCAGCGCTATGCAGCGCATGCTACTTGAAAAATAAACTTCATCAGAAATTTACTTAGCCTGGCTTCGACAAATAACACATTATTATTTCTTATAATTATATATTCATACCTGAAATATCGTTTCACCAACGTTTTAAATGGGTTTATCAATCTCCGTGTCTCCGGTTTAAAGCTCTTCATCAGAAGAAGTCCAGACATCATGAAATAAGTATCTACCATCACGCTGGCGTGTGATAGGAAGCCTGCGTACCGTTTGAAATCCTGAAACATAGTTTTGAGCCAGAAATAATTGTTTAAAAATCGGTCAAAATTATAACAATAACTTAATTTCACCATAAAATTAAATAAAGTTCCAACCAATTAAATATATATATATATATATATATATATATATATATATATATATATATATATATATATATAATATTTTAAATTTTTATTGGTTAATATTTAAAGCTAAACTAAAAAAACACCTTTTAACATTTCAAAAATCATGATTTCACGTGTAGTGGCAGGTTATTTGATAAGTACCATTTAACAAATATATATTATTTATAGTTAATGTGTATATAGTACAATGTAAAATGTAATATATTTTATGTGCGAGTGTGTATATGCATGTATATGTATTTTTTAAACTTATATTTTTTCTTAAAAATGTATAGTTTGCGTGAATGGTTGATTCATTATTTTTTTATGGAATGTTAGCATCGATAACAACGCGGGCGCAATATCGAATAAATACTATTCAGAGCTCCGCTGAAAATCAGCGCTGCTGCAGTTCCTGTGGTAGCATACGCAAAGACGGAATCCTTTTTGGCATCACATCACTCACTCTTGCCGAGACTTATTTTTAATTATGTTCACCATCTTATACCTTGTGTATTTTTATGTTCTTATTTACTTTTAAATGTATATTTTGTGAGTGTATTGATGCTAATAAAACCTATGTCTATGTCTATGTCTATTCTAAGTAGATAAATAGATAAGTCATACATTCCCTTGTTAGTTGTATGTTATTCTCATGAAGCCATGAAATGTGTAAAGGGGTGACAAGCTTGTTTCAAAAGACTTATCGTATTCTTTACTTTTATTATAAATAGCGTCATAGTTACACACAAAATCTATTAAAATTTCGTCGTCCTGCAACTGGAGCAGGGCAGTTGAAATAAGAACTCACTTTTTATCTTCACCGCTCACCACTATCGATAAAACGCGAACTATTCGGCTCAGTCAAGACGGCCGTCACGCAAATAGCGGCAAAACTCTGACGTTACGGCGTCAAATACCGCTCTGTATGAAGACACCGTAGACAGAGAAACCTATAGACAAATTGACGCCTTCTTTCGTAGATCTATTGCATAGAAATGAGACAGAACGGTGTGATTGTTTGTCCCTTTCTCCATGCCGGTTTTTTTAGCACACTACACTTTGCTAAACAACTTTGACAGTTCGTAGCGATCTAAGGAGTTTACAAGTTGGTTTAAGTGAGAAAAAGGTGTTTTGTAAGCTTAAGATTGGTGAATCTTGTTCAGTTCTGTTCTTAGTACAAATAAATTTTTTATCTAAATATGTTTAAAAGCCATAAAGATTATTGTATAACCTAAACCTACGTTATCGTCCTTTCTCACCCGAGGCCATGCTAATCATTAGTCTATAGGTTTCTCTGTCTACGAAAGACACGTTATTTTGTTTTACTGACGTTTGACGTCAATTTTACTTTGACGGTATAGTTACGTCATTTACTTCTTTATTACGACCGTCATGTAGCGGCACCGCAATCCTAGAAAACCAGAGCTTAAGAGAGAAGTACTTACAGAGCCTCATTTGACGTTAACAGTTCATTCTGGGTCCGATCTTGGTCTGATTTATTATATTATTGGAATGAGATAATAGAGTTAAAACTTACGTCATCCATGTCTAAGCCATTCCCAGCTCTGGCCATGATATTAATATACATCACGTGAAGTATGACCATGATACAAGCCGTTAAAAAACGGATACCATGCATCACTTTTATTTCATCTTTTCCCCTGGAAACGAGGTCTGCTGCACTGCTGTTGAGGTCGAATGCGCTGACAACCTTCATTACTGTAAAAAAATCAGAAGCACTTCAAAACTTTATCGATGGGCTAGATGCTCCCTAGAAACTGATTTTTTATGGCTTACGAATAATTAATTCAAGTCTTTACGTTTTCCCACTGAATTATTCGGTCAGTTTAGGTATAGAGTTTAGATTCTAGCTTAAAAAGTAACGATTATTGATTTTGTAATCAGGAATCTAGATATACGTCAAAAATGTATTGCCTTGTTTCTTGACCTTACAAAGGCGTTTGATACTGTTTCGATACCCATCCTAATTTCAAAACTTCAATCTTTAGGAGTAAGAGGAATTCAGTTATCTTTATTCAAAAGTTATTTAAGTAATAGAACTCAATGTGTTAGGATTGGTCCTTATAGTAGTTCTGACCTGCAAATTACATACGGTGTACCGCAGGGAAGTATTCTCGGCCCAAGTTTGTTTTTAGTATATATAAATGACCTGTGTAACATCAATCTTTTAAACGGGATGATCTTTTCCTACGCAGATGACACAGCACTTGTGTTTCATTCGAATACTTGGATTGAAACATATTCCCTTGCTCAAAAAGGGTTTGACGTTGTAAATAAATGGTTAAACGCGCATTTACTTACGTTGAACATAGATAAAACAAAATTAATAGACTTTTCTATTCGAAACACAAAAAATTCAACAACAAACTCATTACAAATCGTTGTTAAGCCTCCCCTTGATATAAGAAATAGTACAGACAATAACGACCTACACTATATAAAAAAAGTGACATCTATAAAATATCTCGGAATTATAATTGATAATAACCTCACATTTAAAGCTTACATTGAACACCTGTCAAACAGAGTCCGTAAACTTATTTACATTTTTAAACAATTACGTCAATCTGCAGATTCAGAAATCATGAAGATGGTTTATATGGCATTGTGTCAATCTATTTTATCTTATTGCATATCCACGTGGGGTGGTGCGGCTAAAAGTAATTTTATACAAATTGAACGGGCACAGAGAGCAGTTTTAAAAGTATGTTGTTTCAAACCGCGTATGTTTCCTACAGACCAACTTTACGACTATTGCCAAGTACTAACAGTTAGACAATTATTCATTTTAACCACCGCTCTCAAACAACATGCCTCAACTAAATATATCCCTGAATGGACACGACGTAACCAACTAGTTGCAAAGTCTATTCAAGTTAAAACTGCATTTAGTCATAGATTCTTCATATTCCTTGGCCCCTATTTATATAATAAATTGCATAAAACCTTATCCCTCTTTTCCCGAAATCAATATGAGTGCAAAAATATTATTCTCCAGTGGCTCCTTAAGCAAACCTATGCAAAAACAGAAAGTCTTTTAGAGGTTGTCGTGTAAATACACACACACACACACACACACACACACACACTCACACACTCACACACACACACACACACACACTTTTCTAAGTTTTCTTAACCATAACCAATTATCTCAATTAGGTATGACAAAAAAGTAAATAGAGTTAAACTTTATGTGTTAATGTTTTAGATATAATAGCATTCCTCGCAGAGGTGGGGACCTGGTGACCTGTAATACGGGTATCTTACCCACTATAGGCACCAGCGATCCACGGGCAAAGTTGTTTTGTACTACTTATAGGCTACTTATAACTCTAAATGTATCTTTGTTTTGTGGTGAGAAATAAACGTTATTATTATTATTATTGTTATCACGTTTCCGCAAAGCATTTTTCAGATAATTGATAGAATCAGGCGTTACTTTGCGGAAATCCATTATAATAAAGATGTTGATTAATTTGCAACCTTCCGCTAACTAAATGCTATGATGTGTCTTACCTGGATTGAAGAGCACCTCCCGCCCTCTCTCAATTACGTGCACTAATTCCGTCACCACTAGTCCCTGCACCACTACTCCCAACACCACTACTCCCGGCACCACTACTTCCAACACCACTATTCCAAGAAAGACACACCATCGACGGTAATACGACACGTGTTTCGCCTCTAGAAAAGAGTCAGTTGTCCGGTTCATGTTGACATATGAGATGATAACTGGTCGAAGGGACGCTGTCATTTACTGAGTTAAGTGTCGTTATATAAATGACGGGTAGAGAGTAAGTTGTTCGGTCCACGTTGTCATATGAGATGATGGCTGATCAAAAGGACGCCTTAGCTAGTCTTAGTTTGCATGAGGTCAAACGTAATCGCCTTGCATATGTGTGTGTACATGTTCAAAGAAATGGATAGTGCACCTATTTATGTCCGGATAGAAGAGCGGAAAAAGTGGTCATTAGTAATTTTTGTTACAGGAATTTATGAAGATACACGCCCGAGGACGGTCGTATGTTAGGATTGATTGTGTCGGCACGTCTATAGAATACTGATTCGGTAAAGGGTAAAGAAGTTTTACTCTATAGAAGCGTCGTATCGTTGTTAACGTGTTAACTGTTGTTGTTTATAGAAAATATCATCGGGAATCGCACTCTCATCAGGTGCGTCCCCAAGTGGCGGATAAGGGAACGCCACCCAGATATAGGTGGTAGCAGGAAACCGCCGCGGACCAAAACTGGGTTACCCGTGGTTACTTTATCCTTTATGATCCTTATCATTATGATCTGCTGCATTGTGGTGATGCACCAGCGTTTACCGCTGGCCCTATAATATCAGGGACCAAAAGAAGGAACAGTGTCGGGAATACTAACAATATTGACACAAGACAAGCGGGTCTGTTTTAAGCGACCTAACACTACGAGTAGTCACGAGTAACGATGGTTCGTTCATGTCGTTCACATGGTTAGGAAATCAAAAATGGAAAGCGAATTACGTCAGTTGTGGCAGCTAAATTCACGACGGATCATGTAGCAGCCTCTGGAGGGGAGAGTGCGACAGGGGCTGAAATAAACGATGACCTGTTTGATCCTTCTGTAACGCCCATTAACACCATGACGAAGAAAACCTTCCAGGTCCGGAAACGTTAGCCTGTGAAATGCGTCTCATGGAGACGTAGAGCTCGATTAGCGAATTGATTTTCACCTCCTGATTCTCAAAAAAGTAAACGATCGATCCCGTAATCTTAAAGAAGGGTTTGTTTGTGGCATAAGGTTGGCTGTGTGAAACATCAAAGCTGCGGCAGGAGAACTCGCATGAAGGACTGACTGAATTGATAACGTCAGCAGGCTGGAGAGAGAGAACGCAGAGAAGCGTTCCCAACTTGCCAGTCTTTCAACTAAGACGGAAAATCTTACTGAAGAACTAGCACCTGCTGCATCTAAGCCTAGGATCGGGAAAAAAGAGCTCATGGCAGACATAGGGGTCTTCATTGACAGGAAGCTGGCTGCCTTCCATGGCAGATTGATTTTCGAAAGGGCCCCAGCTAAACAGCCGCAAGCACTGTTGGAAGAGCACAGCTGCCAACATCAGTGGAAGTAACAAGTCCGCAGTCGTAGCCACTGCGATAACCACTGCAACCGAAAAAGAAAATGATGATGAGAAAGTACTGGATACGGTGTCCATTAACGGTGGTCCCTAAAATAATAGCTGAAGGATCTGAACGCATTGGCTGGGGTTGAGCCAAGGCCTATGAACTGCTACAAATAACTTGAAAAAGAGGTACGTCGGCAGTAAATAACCTCACGAGGCAGACAGGAGCACCCGCAGCTACGCCTGTGGCGAACCCTCATGGAGTTGTAGGTCACGGAGCAAACCAGTCCACTGCGTCGGCACCTGATTGTCCAGTCTGTTCCGACCTCAGGCGTAACCATAGGTTGGGGGAAAATGCGTTCAACCTGCGAAAAGTGGAGTTAGGAAGCGTAAACACCCTCCCACTCCCGACAGCGTGACGGTTATAGCAGCATCTGTTGCAGCACCGAGCTCCGACTCGGCAATGGAATTCACTATGACGTAAAAGTCACGCTCCTCAAAGCTTTCCAGGGTAGCTTAAACTGCCGCAATTCACAAAATCTGTTCATGCAGATTATTGTGGAATAGCGGGTTGCCTTTGCTGTAGTAGCCGTCGTCCCCGACCATCTTTGCTAGTTTGGCGACGAATCAGACTCCGTAGTCATCTACTGAGGGAGTGGTGATGGTGCTACACCCTGCGTCCTCCTTGAATGGTTCAGGGCCTTGTAGCAGGGCACCCTGGCTATAGTGGGTTCCATGTCTCTCCCAATAGGACCCTAGCTGACTACAAGGAAAACCTGGACTTGCTGGAAAGAGTGATCAGCACGCTTTTCCCAGAGGACCAGTCATGTCGCTCAAGACAACCTGCCGTCGTTATGGGAGTGGCAAGATGAGATGGGGGTGACCGTGGAGGAGTTGGACCGAGCCGTTAGCCGCTCCTGGTTGTATTCCGAATAGAAATCCCGAAATCTCTCGTACACGCTGATGGAGATCACCGTAGAGATTTAGCCGGTAGAAGTCTGGCATAACCTTCCGGTTGCCCCACAGAAAAAGATATTCATGAAATTTTCGCCACGAAAAAACAAAGGTTAGGTTTTTTATAGGATAGCGTAACAAACGTGCACACAGTCCACTTGATGGTAAGTGGTTGCTGTGGTCCTACATCTATACTCGATTAAAAATCAAAATGCAGATGCTTTGTCACCCGTTAGAACTAAGATGGAATGCCTCGTTTCCAGTAAAAGGGTCTCCGGTTCTCTACACTCACCATAAGAAACACAGGAGCATTATATATAGCTACTATTTTACGCTGGTATTCTGTGAGAGCGTGGTTCTTCTCCAATCGACTCGACCTATTCGTGCTACAACTATACTTGTAACATAACTGCAGAATGGCTCTACCACGTGGGTTAAATTAAGTTAGGATTTATTAAATTAGCTTAGGTTAGTTAGGATATTATACACGTTATGGAATCCACATGGCTGGCCCGAGGTGAATGGCTGGCCCGAGGTAGCCACTCCGAGTGGGCTTGGTGAGCCCACTTTAGATGCTGGTAGGCTACGGTAAGAGGGGTGTCCTCTCCCTCTACCGCTGCAGCTGAGGTGGAGTCGCGGTGAAAGAGGAGTGTTGGTATGGCGATGCGCCACTAGCCGCGGAGCGGCTCAAACGGGGCCGCACCGTTGATGCAGTGGTGGTGAGGCTGCGGGGGGAGAGAAGTATCGGTATTGCGAGGCGCCGCTCTCCCTACCCTCCGCAGCCGAATCTTAGTTGACAGCGGAGCCATAGACCAGATCTGCCGCTGGGATCAGGAAGGCTAGTGCTGAGTGCTCGTTTTTCCTGGCTAAATGGCCTTCGCGCATCGGACATGGGGGTGTCCGTTGCGCAGGTGTAGTCGGAGGTCGTGGCGGAAAGTGCGCCATGTGTTCTGGTGCACCTTACTCGAGAAGGAGAAAGGAGAAGAGTAATCCTTTTCCCAGGAGCCACCGCTGTGGGGGGGGGGGCGCTGGTGCGGCGGCGGATGTGTGCGAAAGCGTTCCCGTGGCCCTGCCAATATGCGACGAAGGTAGAACACTATGGGGTTTTAGTCGGTGCGAGTCCGATGGCGGAAGGTGCGCCATGTGTTCTGGTGCACCTTACTTGAGAAGGAGACAGGAGAAGAGTAGTCTTTTTCCGAGGAGGCGCCGCTGTGGGGGGGCCGGCGCTGGTGGGGCCGCGGATGTGTGCGAAAGCGTTCCAGTGGCCCTGCCAATATGCGACGATGGTGGAACACTATGGGGTTTTAGTCGGTTCGAGTCCGATGGCGGAAGGTGCACCATGTGTTTTGGTGCACCTTACTTGAGAAGGAGAAAGGAGAGGAGTAGTCCTTTTCCGAGGAGGCACCGCTGTGGGGGGGCCGGCGCTGGTGGGGCCGTGGATGTGTGCAAAAGCGTTCCCGTGGCCCTGCCAATATGCGACGAAGGTGGAACACCATGGAGTTTTAGTCGGTGCGAGTCCGACATAACCGTACTTGCCCCCGCGAGGTGGGTATGCGTAGTCATTTCCCCATGTTAAAAAAAAGGTTTGGTTAAGTAACCTTAGATTAGTAGGTTAGGTTAAGTACTATATGAATTGTAGGATCGGTAACACTTTCATTTATAAAAATTAAAATAATTTCACCTGCAATTTAAAATAATTCTTATTTTGAGCTTCAATAGTATTCCATTGATTTGCAATACGCGGACACTTGCATTTGCGTGCGTTTTTTCGCAAATAAACTGTCAACCGCCTTGATGTATCACAAAGTGGTGACCTCACCTCTAATGGTGGATAATGTAACTATTTTACAATACGATCACTAACATTTGACCATATCACGAAGTAGCCGTGCGTCTAGCTGTTCATATTACTAAACGCTGATTATTCATTGTTCTGGCCAGACCACATCACGATGTGGTCAGCGGATATTTTCCATTTCATAAAATACAGTCTTTTTATGAAATGATCTACTATTTTATGAAATTATTAATTCTACAATATAAGTAGCACAGCAGCGTTTCCAAGCGTGGCAACTACTTCAAGTATCCCCTCATGTGGCAATATATAACTTTATGGGAAACTATGGGGGAGACCTATTTTCAGCAGCATACTTTGATAGGCTGTAATGATGAAGATGATCTGATCGCTGATCTCTTTGATATAAATATGTGTTTTGAGTTTCCTGGATGAAGTACAAGAGTATAGTCTTCGGATCACTGTCTATTTTTAAATTTAACTTAATCTACCCAATTTTGACTTGGAACAAATGACAGATAAATCTGTAGATCTTTTGTACACATATTATGACATTTTCAGATCCGAAATGCATAAATATAAAAGGGCCCAGTATGGTTCCTTGCTGAACTCCTCTTGTCTCATGATAAGGATTCGATAAAGAAGATATACCGTCATTTTATTGTTTTAAATAACTGCGTGTGGTCATTAAGATAGCTGAAGTGGAACAGTAAAAACACGTAAAAATTAAATAGGATATAAATATAAAATATAATATGTATAACTTGCCTATACGGTTGCATTTTGATACTCGATGCTTCGTTGTAAAATACGTAAATGCACATGCAATAACCGTCAGCACAACTGCACCCAGCCTAAAAACAAAGGAATGAAATTATCAGATAGTAACCACCACAGTTAGTGTCGTTTAATGAACAATTATTTTTTGCAATTTATATATAAAACGATTAATAATTTATTAAACAATTCCGTTTGGACGTAAATATCAATAAAAAAATTATATAAACTTATTTTTGAATTGCCTTTCAGACAAAACATATTAGCATTTATTTATTTCTAACTACTTATGTTCATGTATCAATTAGTGATCCATTAATGTTCCGAAACGTAAAGACGATAGTGGAAAATATTCCATGTTTTTAAAAAATTTGAGAGTAAATTGCAACCAACATTATAATAAAATATATTATTTAATGTATTCATAGAATCTTAATGTTAAAAAATAAAATGTAATAAAATAAAATGTTAAAAAATTAATAGAAATGACAAGTATCATGACTTTTACATTCCTTGAATTTTTTTACATAAAGCGGCATTCCTTTGACTCGAAATCCTCGTTGGTTTAGAGGTCGTAAACACGACTGTTAATCACGTGGTCTCCTAGTCTCAATTGAAGTGGTGGTCGCCGTGACCGAAATTTGGTCTGGACGACACATTGTAAAATGACATTATATTATTATATACAGTGACTTTGTGGGTGAGAAGGTATATTTAATGATGCCTGAGAAATTAAGGACTGTGTTAGGGATGATGTGCGTAAGAAAATAGTGAGAAAGAAGAAGACATGCTACCTCGCCCGGGATACGAATAGAAAGACGAATATTGAGCGAAAAGGATAATAAAGAAAAAGCTGTGAATACTTACATGAGTAGTTGCAGTTCTGTTCTATTCGCTGGAGGAGTTCGGGTAACTTGGCAATTTCCAACTGAAACTTTAGGATTGGGATTGATTGTTCCCAAGTGACTGATCCTTAGTAACATGCGGACGAATCTGTCAACTGACTGCGTTTGACAGACTTGTGGTACGCACACGCCCCAGGACAGAATATTAAATCTCAAGTTATAATCAGTTTTGATCTACAAAACATTTTTAACAGAATGTGATAATTGTAGTATAAGTTATTATTTTTTTAAATCATTTCGTATAACATACTGAATCGTATACGTATAAAAGAATGTTTTTAAATGCTAGTACATATTGATTTGAAATAATAATATGTCAGGAGAATTATTATATTAGACATAAGTGGTAAAATTAAAAGAAAACAATCGACTTCAATATAAATAAAATGAGAACATCATCAATGTATTCGAAGTCAATTAAGTTCGCATTATTTTAGGATACACGCGTGATTAAGGATAAAATGCAGATGCGTTGTCCAGTTCTCTACACTCACCATACGAAACACAGCAGCATTAAGCTACTATTTTACGCTGGTATTCTGTGAGAGCGTGGTTTTTTCCCGGTCGAGCCGACCCATTCGTGCTTCAACTATACTACTAATATAACTGCAGCATGGCTCTACCATGTATAACAACTTGAAACACAAGTGAAAAGTACTCGACAATCTCTTTTAGTTTGTTTTTAGGTTATTGTAAGATTCATCTTTTCATTGTTAATTTCTCAGTATTTCTCAGTAAATGCGGTAAAACTAATATTACTAGTGTAATCTACAGATTATAAAAAAACAAATAGATATAATAAATGTTAAAACTAAAAAAATTGATTACCTACGTGGAAATATCTTTCAGCTTTATCATATGGATTTAAGTCGGTAATTTTTCTGTTAACTTCAGTATCAGCCAATGTGATATCAACAAGACAGTACTGTGTGAAAATCAGATTATCGTTTGACCACTCTTTACGCAGACACTGATCAAAGTTACCCAAATGATTCTGAGATCCATAGAACTGGCCAGTGGGAAACTGGATACTATCCCAAACTAGAAAATAGAAATATAAGATAGTAGGAGATGAACAAAAATTTATTAACTCAAGGTAATCTGGAGGACAGGAAATTTTTGATTAATAAAAAAATAACTTATATTAAAAATAAAAATTGAGTCAAAGAAAAAGAGAATAAAATTATTTCACATTCTTAAGTCATTGCTTAGACATGGTGTAAAAGAATGAAAGCCTCAGTTAGCCTTTACTTTAGATTTAAACTAAATTATTTTTATCCTTTTGAATAAACTAAGGAATATCACAATCTCGGTAAATAGTTACGTTAGAAACTTCATTTTGAAGTCAGTTTAAGAACTTCGTTTCTAGCACCCTGAAAATGAAACCTTACTGGCAATAACTCTCAAAATTTATTGAGAAAGAAATTGCAGGTTTGGTTTTTTCTTACATTGCCATTATTCAGCACTACGTTTTATAGCATCGGTACCACAGAAATCGTAATAATAAGACAATAGAAGTTGCATAGACCTTGTCACCGCTATGATGTGTTGACGAACATCATTCACCATTTTTTGATATAGTTGCGCGGAGAACGTCGTACGTGAATTTTTGTTATTATAAATTTATAATGGTGAACTGCAGCATAATCAGTTGTAAAAACTCATCAAGGACACGTAATTCAACTAATAAAGGCATAACATTTCATCGGTAAGTTGATTATTTACTAATTATCATAGTTTTAACTAATTTACATCTAGATGAATACTTTATTATGATATTTACATTTGCATATAAAATTTCATTTATTATTTTCCGTACTGTATAATTACCATTGCTGCATTTGTTCTCCCGTAATACGTAACGTATATGTAAGACGTTGACAAACTCGCCAAGCAATGTAATGTGAAACATTAGATATCATTATCCATTGCGTATATTTATTATATGGTGAGATGTGGCGACATCGGTTTTGGAAGTAATCGAGCGCTAATTCATTTCTATTGTCTTATTATTACTATTTCTGTGATCGTTACCAGGCCACTATCACTCTTGCTACCTGCGTGAAATAATTACCTAAAATCGCGACGCGCCCGGGCGAAATAACGCAGTCTGGGCTCGCGCGTTGGAGGCGATTGAATGTTAAAGTTTTTACCGCTGTTTACGTAAATAATTTTATGTAAATAGTTGTTGAAATAGTTTTTGTTTAGTGTTTGGTATATTTAATTGTAGGTAAAAATAGTTGTAAAAGTTTTAATGTATTTTAAAAATTATATAATATTATGTATATTACCTATTTGATAAATTATAATAGCAAAACGTCGTTCCTACTATAACTGTTGCTTAGATGGATACTAAATGAAATGACCAACAAAAGGTTTCATATCATTCTTTAAGTTACCGAAGAATTTTAGAAGGAAGTTATGAAAGGTGAATTTATTTAATTTTTTTGTTAGATAGGTACTCACAGCAAAAAGAATTAAGTAATAATTTGGTCTACAGAAGAAATACCCGAGTACTTCATTACAAAAATTAGTTAAAATTTACTTCACTATCCAAGTATTTACTTACATACCTATACTTGTCTTTTGTATTTAAAATATTTTTAGTTATAATCACAAAATACTGAAATTAAAATTTTGTATACTAACAAGATTTTTAACTAAATAGAATAGATCACATTTCCGTTAGAAATCGTATTTCAGGTTTATTTGTTGTTTACACTATCTACCTATTTCTCCCAAGCGTTACGATTCCCGACGAATGACGCAGAACTCACATAAGGGCGAAAGTGTGATTAGTCAATCATAGTCAGAATATTAGTTATTACTTCACCTAAGTTACATAATTAACATTTCGCAATGTATTTTTTTACTTTCTATTGAAATCCCCTAATAACCACGGAAAGTCCGCCGTGACAAAAAAGATGCAAAGTAATATGGACACTAGCGCGCAGCGATAAAGTTTTATTTAGCTTGCGTGTGCGATTTATTTGATTAATAATAATTATGTAGGCTATTAAACGTCGGTAAGCAGTCGACATCAAAGGAGTGCAACTTCTGTACGTAGTACTATTATTTATTCTGTGTCGTTACGCTATATCAATGATTGAGTGTAATGCTTCTTCGATGCCAAACCGTAGGTTCGAATTAAGATTACCAAGTTTATTTTAATTTTTATAATTAGTATTTTTTAGGTTATTAACTGGTTGAAATAAAGCAAAACATATATAGTTCTTTTGTTGCATTAGTTAGAGTGTTGACCTGTTGAGACTAGCAGTAAGTTGATGGATGCAGGTGAGATAGGACCTTGTTTTGTTTCATTCCTTGGGTGGGACTGTTATAATGATGGCCATGATAATGATGTTACAAATTGAGGTTTTATTTTTAAGAAAATACTTCTGTCGTTTTAAGCCTGGTGCTTATTATCTGGTATTTAGCTGGTGCCTTAATACCACGTTATATAAATGTATATTAATCTACCCTACATTTATCAAGAAAAACAGTGTTTGGAACTTAAAAATGGGTGCGTTTGGCAGAAAAAAACGCTAGCAAGTGCTTACAAGCGCTAAAATAGTTTTCGGCCAGGACACGATTGCTACTTCAGTAGTGCTAACACAATCCGCCATTTTGCTTATTTAATTTGTTTGTTTTGAAATAGAGTTTATAAGTTGTTTTGTGCAATATTAGTTTTAAGTATTATAATGACATGAATAGACATATACATGTTATTAAAAATTCATGATTGGTAAGTTTTTAATATGAATACGGTTAGATTCACCGGTTAAAACTAACATCGTGTCCTGGAGGAAAATAGCTACTTACGATTTGACAGCGCTTACCGCTTACGATCGCCATTTTGCTTACAAGCGCTTGCTAGCGCTTTTTTCTGCCAAACGCACCCAATGGTAGAACATTCTATTATATAGTAGAGTTGGCAACCCTCATTTGAAACCCCAAGAATTGATCTGCATCTCCATGTGCCTATGTACCTATGTGCTTTATAAGAATGAAAAACGCTTTAGCATAAGTACATGAGAAAAAGCGTAAGTAAAGCTTTTGTTTTAAATATACTTACTCCACGTGGCCCAAAGCGTAGAGTTCCTAACATTTGTCAGAATTGTTAAAGTTTGATCATAACACGATTTTTCGCTTTCATCCCATTTTTGATCTAGTAGGTCATCTATCAACAAGTCGATGTAAGATGTCTGTTTTTTGTATATTGTAGACACAGTTGAGATTTCATGGTTGAAATTTTCAGTCTTAGTACATTTGACGATATCTGTAAATATGACATAATGCGTTAAAGTATATAAGAATAATAATATATATTTATTTACCCTCACAATTTAGGTTTAAAAAGGTATAATATGTGTACTCTAGTCTGTACTAGGGGGAAGCCTGTATTACGAATTACCAGGTGAGGGATTCCCCTCAAGAATACTCAACATAACAACATAACATGCAATTGTTTATGATTTTTATATAGGATAATGTGACAAACGAGCATACAGTCCACCTGATGGTTAGTGCTTGCTGTGGCCCATAGACATCGACATCTATCCTCTATTACGAATCAAAATGCGGATGCGTTGTCATCCGTGACTGACGTGGACTAAGATGGAATGCCTAGTAAAAAGGGTCTCCAGTTCTCTATATTCACCATACGAAACACAGCAGTATTTGGCTATTATATTACGCTGATATTCTGCGAGAGCGTGGTCCTTCCCCGATCGAGCCGACCCATTCGTGCTACAATTATACAACTAATATAACTACAGCGTAGCTCGACAACACCAAGACATCATATTATGTTAATAGTACGTTTATGACATGATAGTGTGTGTGTATGTGTTTGTGTGTGTGCATATATGTATGGTGTAAGTGTCTCTAGGTCATCGTAAGAATATCATCTCTCATCTTAGGAAGGTTTTCAGTGGTGATATAGTCCTAATATGACAAAATATTAAAATAATTACATAACTGCAATAGCAAACGAATATACATTCTACCAAATATTATGGACCCCTGCATTTAATGCACACCTGCCATTTACTTCAAAAAGAGAAGGCAATACATTTGTTATCACCTCTGAGTACTAAGACTGGAACAGTATTGCAAGCATTGCTATTTGACGGCAGAAGTAGACTATGTGAAGAGTGGTCCTACCCAGGCAAACTTCCAGGCAAAAACGTGTCCTACCACCTACTAAAGTTAACAACGGTAAATGAGAAAGTTTTTAAGAATAACCAGAACGGTAATGATTTGTTATATTTAAGTGAATACTACACTTTTTCCTTCAATTTTACTATTCTAGCCAGCGCTTGACTATTATCCCACCTGATGGTAAGTAATGATGCATGCCGAATTTAGTAAGGCGCACCGACTTAACATAAGCCTATTTATTCTTGCCTTGAAGACGTCGTAATTGGATAGAGAGAGGGATACTGGCAACGTATTCCATTACTTTTCTGTACGAAAACAAACCATTTGTGATTGAAATGTGGATTGCGGAAGCCCGTCTGGCTACGCTGATTGTATGTGGAGCAATGAATGATAAGATGGATGAAGCATGTGATATGATGAATGATAGAGGAATAGATGTGTTATGTGTAAATGAGACGAAACGGAAGGGAAATGATGTCACTACTCTCGGCATGTATACCGCATACTAGTCCAGGGTAGATGAGACCGAGCGGGCAGCCTGTTTACTCTTGCCTTGAAGACGGTCACATCGTAATCGGATGGAGAGACGGATGCTGGCAACGTATTCCACTCCTTTGCTGTACGCAAACAAACCGTTTGGTTCGATGGCGTAGCAAGTTGACAACGAAATGGTAGAGATTAGGCGATCGTCTGGTTGTCCGGTGGTGGAAGGGAGAGGAAGGCATTAATTATGCAACTCCTTACAGTATCTTCTAATCTCGCAGCGGTATGCTCGGGCTTGAACTTAATTTTAACTATGAGATCCATAGCAGATGGTAGCACCCAGCCATCTTCCCTACTGGAATTTGGATAATTTTATTTTCATTGGCTTCACGAAACATCCTTAATAAGAATCGGCGTTATTTTGCAAGGATTTTTAAGCTATTAGATCTGATATAATTTTGGGGTTTTGTTTAATTAGAATAATGCTCTTAAAAATAAAGATCTGCATTAAGCGCGATTCTACGGCCGGTCAGCGCAGTCGCTTCGTAAAGATATGGCGGCTCTAATGCCGACTTTACAATATTTTCGTAGCGTAAGCATATCTACTTAGCAAAAATAATTTAAAATAGCGTGTATTCAACAAAAATAGGACGTCATGGACCAAGTGTCAGGAGCAGATACTGATGACTAGCTTCACCAAGCACGAAATCATCCAAGTGAAAAAAGTGTTGGCAAATTCAGCTGTGACCTAAATCCGTCTTATTACACGTCACAGGGATGAACGCGCTAACAAAGACCTGAAAGACATCTTTAGGCTGTTCAATGAGACTGATCCTGATGATATCCCAGCTTTTGTCATGCCTCCCGTGATGCTCTATCATGTAGACGTGACCAGATATTTAAAAGACATCACCATGTTGAAAGCCGAAGTCACCAAAATCCGCTTTAAATGTGAAGAACTGGAACGAGCCGCATTAGAGCTGAGGAAGGAAGTTACTACTATGATAATATGAGCAAAAAATAAAAACTTTGACTAAAATATGAAAATCGGACTCAAAAAAAAACCAAAAAAAAAAACAGGAGGAGCTTAAACACAACTAAGCTTAGCTTTACCGAGGAAGAAAAGAATAGTTTTCATGACGAAAGCACCAAAGTTAAACCAACTGAACCACCGTCTGGAAGACAAAAATCTTTGAGACTAAAAATTCCGAAATTCAAACAAATCCAAGACAGACAAGGGACAGCCGATTTAAAATGAGACTACAAAAGAAAAACACATATGCGAACACAGATTACATATATTTGGAGATGAACAAGGTCAAGGCGTAACCGCACAACTATCAAAGATACTTGGAAATAAATACAAGATATATGGCGAAGTAAAACCAGGAGCTACGACGGCCAAAATACTAGAGGGCATTAAACTCCATTGCTCAACTTACAGTAATATGGAAAACGGGGAAAAATGACAGTGATTTAACGAAAATGAGTTTCTACCTTTTTTACTATCTAAGCCAACATATAAACACAAATATTTTATTGTACGGAACTGGTGTTAAGAAACATAATACTGAAAATATAAATAGAAAAATTAAATCCGTTGCCGAATGTTAACTACAAAGATTATTCTAAATTTCTTTATATGCAGATGATACCTGTATTTTCTACTTTGGATGTTCCATAGATGAAGATATCGCACGAGCCCAATTAGATCTAAATGTAGTATATAAATGGTTCCAATCCAATTTGCTAACAATAAATACATCAAAAACCTCGTACATGGTATTTAAACCCAAAAACAAAAACATTTGCAGTTAGTAGATAAAACCTTGTCATGGAAGGGTCATATAGGCAAAATACGATCGAAACTATCGTCTCTACTGGATTCACTTTACGGTTGTATTCAATGCCTTCCTTACCGTGTTCGCCGTATAATTTATAATACTTTAGTCAAACCACATCTGGATTATATAATTATATCTAGTTGAAATTTGGGGTTGCACAAATAAGCAAAAATAAAATATTAAAACTATTATTTAATTATAACTTCATTACACCTACAGACAAACAGTACAGTAAAGCTAAAATTATGAATATTTATCAAACATATTGCTATAATACCTGTATTCTAATAAAGAAAAATCTAGATAGTAAAATTACACACACAATTAAAATTTTAAACAAATAAAGGCAAAGGAAAGAAAGTACTTCGCAACACTAGTAATATTTACATAGGTACCTATGGTACGAACAAATTATGGTAAGCAGAGTGTACTTTTTGATTGAGTTAAAATATATAATAAACTACCGCAAGAAATTCTTACTTACTTACTTATCTTCACGCACAATCCCTAACGGGGTAGCCAGAGAGAACAGATCGCCAAGTGTCACGATCCTTACATACCTCTTTCGCTTCTTTCAGGTTCACTAACTTCTTCATACATGCACGTCTAGGTATCCGAGTACTCTTGACCTTCCCCTCTTCGAGCAATTTGCTCACATGGTCTTCGAAAGTTAGTCTCGGTCTACCACGACACCTTTTAATATTTACTTTCGCACTATATATTTTCTTCACCATTCGGTCTTCACTCATTCGCTCAACGTGCCCAAACCATTGGAGTACGCCCCTATCAATTTTTGTGATAAGGTCATCTTTCAATCCTGCCATATTGCGAATCTCTTCGTTTCGCTTTCGATCGGCTATGGTAACGCCACACATTTTACGAAGAGATCGCATCTCCACTGCATTCAACTTGCTTTTATGCTTCTTCTGGCATACCCAGGTTTCGCTGCCATATAACAAAGTTGGTACTATTATGTATTGCAAGGCGTGCACTCTTCACCACGCCTTGCCCTTTGACTAATGCATTCAGGGCACCATTGACTTTGTTTCCGGCAGCGACACGCCTATCCACATCTAAATCACATCTTCCATCCCGGCTGAAAGCACTCCCCAAGTATACAATTTCATTTACCTGTTCTAGACATTCCTGATTTACCCATATTTCACATTTCGTTCTCTCTTCGTCCTTTTCAAATAAACCACAAGAAATAAAAATATTAAATAGTTTTAACATCTTTAAAAGCAAACTAAAACAACATAATATAATGAATAAATTCTAAATCAGACCCTGTCCATATGCCGACCGCTTATCAGTGTTAATCGGTAACGATAAGAAATACCTTACTACCCACTTTATTAACTTGTATTCTAAAAGATTGGTAACTTGTTCATCAATACACAAAAAGATAATATAAGAAGCATTAAGTTGTATGCCTAAACTAGTAAGAAGTTGTATGTCACGAAACTCTTTCTTTCCTTTTTAATGTTAATATATATATTTCTTTTTTTGCAATCTGTATGCTCATAACCCATTTATAACTTAAATATTGTAACTTCTCATTAATTGAAATGTATATTTCTTTTGAGAATAAAATACCTTTAACCACATTTACGCTATTCATATTCAAGCCTGCTACGTAATATCTTAAGACATCTGTGCCAAAATATACTTCAAGAAATATTATGACTCCACTATAAATATAAAATCAAAAATTACCAAAGTAAAGAAGATTTTAAAAGGCGTTAAGCTACCTTAAGATGATATTTTTTTGTTTGGCAGATTATTATAGTCAGTTATGGACATAACGTAAGTGCTTAAGGAGAATAGTTTCATTTTGGAGGTTGGTAGCAACAATCTATTTTCATGTCTAAAAATTTACGCCGTGTTTTTAATGTAGAAATTAGGGAGGGTATTTTCGCACAGTTTTGGATAATTCCAATATATAAATACAAATTAAGGAAAAAGTTTAAGTTTTTTAAGATACGGTCGACAACTTTCAGTTTTTTTTAATCGTAGACAGAGAAAAAGTTTCTCTGTCAACGTTTTTTATGTTACACATAATGCGAATCAGTTTTTTTTGTAAGATGAAGATAGTGGTTGCATTTGTTCTGTTACCCTACAGGATAATGTACTTTGGCCACGCCTATGCATAGGTATTATCAGTAGTTAAGGCAGTCTGGAGGTCAGTTGTCATTTTTATTTTACTTATGGCATATACAAAACTAGACAATTTGTTTCAAATATTTTGAATGTGAGATTTCCAGAATGTTACTGACTCGATTTTTGTATTTTTAAGAAAAATTAATTTTAAACGGCGTTTGATAATAGGGTCTACAAGCCATTTATTTTGTAATTAATTTCCAGGTTGTGTTATTTCACCCATTGTTCAGTATTTTCAAATATTTTATATAATATATCGTTGTTATTAACGTTACAAAAAGTGCTAAGATAGAGATATCGTCCGCAAACATAACACATGGGTTAACCGTGGTTTCACTGAGATTATTAATATATATTAAAGCAATATTCATACACTACCTTGAGGAATTGAAGCATTTACAATTATTTTATTTGATCTGACTTTCACAATTTTATTATTATCAAATTATTTTTCTATACTTATTGATATCTTGGATATATTTATGTACTGCTAGAATGGTAGACCGATTTTTACGAAAACCATTCTCACATTCACTACAGATTCTATATTTATCGCAGAAATTATACACACGTTCAAACATTATTTTTTCGAAAAATTTTGATATTGTAGGGAGTAGATCTTCGGGGCGATAATTATCGATATCAGTTTTTGAATGTTTCTTATGGATGAGTACTTTAATGCTTTTTTTAAACACGTCTGGGAAGATGTTCTCTGTGAAAGATCAGTTGACTAGTTCACAGAGCTAACTCATCTGCACAATGTGTGGTTTAGTTTGGTGGTAATTCGTCTATCCCGAAGCTCGAAAATTTGTATTATTGTATATACTTCCCTTGGAGTTACTGGGCTGGGATATGTAGAGCTGTTTGACGCATTCTGTGTAGTTCCACCATGTGCCAGCGGGTTATAATTTTTGCCTATCGAAGAATCTATTAAAAGTGTTTGCTATTAAAATCTTTATATTTTATAATATTTTTATTTATTCTTTCTTTTATTGTATGTCACATTGTTTTGATTTTATTTTTTTTTAATTTTTAATTTGTTTTTTTTTTTTTTTTTTTTGTTTGGTTGTGGAATATTCACTGTGATTCGACAGATGAGATTAATAATGATAATAATTTTTTTATTAGTTATTACCATAAATAAGAAAATATAAAATCCGAATATTAAAAATATTTTTGTAACGAAATGAAAATCCGATCATATAGGTAAAATATAACAAACCAGAAAAATAATTTACAGTTAAAATATTATTACAGTTAAAAATATTATGAGAGCCGTGGTAGCTCAGATGGTTAGCGCTCGCTGTAAATTTCATAGTACGCGAGCAAACCGGATTCGATCCTGCTGGCACCATGAAATTGTTATCCGGGGGAAGGGCTTGAAAAAAAAAAAAATTATAGGGAGGGTGTCCCCCCCGCCGGGGGGGGGGGCGCGCCCCTTCCTTTTCCCGGCTTTTTTGTGTTTTGTTTGCTAATTTAACGTGTTTTTATTGGCATTTTGTTTCTACCTTGTTGAGAGATGTTCTAAAATATGTAGAAAGAGAAGAATTAACCTAAATGTCAATACAAGGTATTAGAAAAATGTATTAGAAGTGTGTGCAGTGGAGCTACAGTGTAAAAATATAAACATGCTTAGATTTAATATTTACAAATTTCTGTAACCTAACACTTAAAAACTAGTTTAGAAGAATTTGGACTTTTCGATCACATGAGCACAATTATAGATATAAAAATAAATAAACAAAAAAAAGAAAATTTAATGTCAATAATATGCAAAACTTTAAATCCAAATTGGACTCATGCAATTGGTCAGAAATTTTGTAAAATTAAATATATAAAAAACCTTGGTGAACCATATGGTGTTAAAATCAAATAATGAAATACTCATCACATTATAAAAATATGGAAAATTACTAAAAAAAGCTGTTATTACATCAAAGAAAATAGAATACAGATATAAAATTATACGATCAAATAATAAAATCAAAACAATGTGACGTATAATAAAAGAAAGAATAAATAAAAATATTATAAAATATAAAGATTTTAATAGCAAACACTTTTAATAGATTCTTCGATAGGCAAAAATTATAACCCGCTGGCACATGGTGGAACTACACAGAATGCGTCAAACAGCTCTACATATCCTAGCCCAGTAACTCCAAGAGAAGTATATACAATAATAAAAAATTTAAAAAATGAAATGAGCTTCGGGATAGACGAATTACCACCAAACTAAACCACACATTGTGCAGATGAGTTAGCTCTGTGAACTAGTCAACTGATCTTTCACAGAGAGCATCTTCCCAGACGTGTTAAATAAAGCATTAAAGTACTCATCCATAAGAAACATTCAAAAACTGATATCGATAATTATCGCCCCATAGATCTACTCCCTACAATATCAAAATTTTTCGAAAAAATAATGTTTGAACGTGTGTATAATTTCTGCGAGAAATATAAAATCTGTAGTGAATGTGAGAACGGTTTTCGTAAAAATCGGTCTACCATTCTAGCAGTACATAAATATATCCAAGATATTAAACATGAAAAAATATACAATAGGAATACTATTGGATATGACCAAAGCATACGATAAGGTACAATATATAAATATTAAATAGTATAGGTTTTCGTGGGATTAGTTTGGAATGGTTCAAGTCGTACTTACAAGATAGAAAACAATGTATAGAAAAATAATTTGATAATAATAAAATTGTGAAAGTCAGATCAAATAAAATAATTGTAAATGCTTCAATTCCTCAAGGTAGTGTATTGGAATGTTTATTGCTTTTAATATATATTAATAATCTCAGTGAAACCATGGTTAACCCATGTGTTATATTTGCGGACGATATCTCTATCTTAGCACTTTTTGTAACGTTAATAACAACGATATATTATATAAAATATTTGAAAATACTGAACAATGGGTGAAATAACACAACCTGGAAATTAATTACAAAAAAAAATGGCTTGTAGACCCTATTATCAAACGCCGTTTAAAATTAATTTTTCTTAAAAATACAAAATTCGAGTCAGTAACATTAACTGGAAATCTCACATTCAAAATATTCGAAACAAATTGTCTAGTTTTGTATATGCCATAAGTAAAATAAAAATGACAACTGACCTCCAGACTGCTTTAACTACTGATAATACCTATGCATAGGCGTGGCCAAAGTACATTATCCTGTAGGGTAACAGAACAAATGCAACCACTATCTTCATCTTACAAAAAAAAAAAAAAAAAACTGATTCGCATTATGTGTAACATAAAAAAATGTTGACAGAGAAACTTTTTCTCTGTCTACGATTAAAAAAAAAACTGAAAGTTGTCGACCGTATCTTAAAAAACTTAAACTTTTTCCTTAATTTGTATTTATATATTGGAATTATGCAAAACTGTGCGAAAATACCCTCCCTAATTTCTACATTAAAACACGGCATAAATTTTTAGACATGAAAATAGATTATTGCTACCAACCTCCAAAATGAAACTATTCTCCTTAAGCACTTACTTTATGTCCATAACTGACTATAATAATCTGCCAAACTCATTAAAAAATTAAACAAATGATAATATTTTCATAAGACAGTTAAAAGTGATTCTAATTAATAAATGTTATTACACTCTGTATGAATACCTCAATGACAAATGTAATAATAATAATGAATAATATAGTAATAATGAATGATATAATAATAATAATGAATAATAAAACGTTTTTGCGTCCTCCTCTATTTGAATTATCTATATCCGACATTTGTAGTACATATTACGATAATTTAATATATATTAATTTGTAAATTATGGGATGCAAATAACTGTTGAATACAGAACCTCTTAAATTTTATAAAGAATGAATATATATATTTTATGTAAAAACATATTTACCGAACACCAGAAGAAAAGTTGCGGTTAAAGCAAAATGTGTTTTCATTTTTCTATCTTTCTAAATCACGAGTATCTTCACCGAAGACCACTGGCTGCTGTCACTAGCTTCGGAACACCCTAATTATTATTCAAGTTTGGCTGCTTGACTAAAACAACAATAATGTTACTTTCTTGATAGTATCTTTATAAAATCTATCTTACGCAAAATTCGAGAAATAACTGATGAAATTTCTCACACCAAAACAACTTTTAACAATGATCCATACAATGGGACGTCAAAAAATAACTTCGACTGATTAATGATCTTAAATTTTCGTGTGTCTTTTCATGCAAAAAATGGAGATTGATTACACGGCTATTAAAAAAGCGTATTCATTATTCACCGGCTACGAAATAAGTTTCTTGATTCTACGGAAATTTTCCTGCAACTGTTTTGTTTCATACAGAGCCGAAGAACTAGACGTATCTCTTTGGGCTGTTTGTAACCTTTGAGTTTCATTATAATAACACGCTAAGTTTATTGTTAACTAGCTTTTCCCGCGGCTTCGCCTGCCTACTAAAACCACAACACTTCGAAGGCTCTCTACGTAATAATTTTTTCGCGTAGGTTTCAAACTGCTTAAGACACGATACTTGTGACATACATCCATCCATTCTTTTTTTATATGATAGGATGACAAACGAGCACACAGTTCACCTGATGGTAAGTGGTTGCTGTGGCCCATAGACATCTACATCTTTCCTCGATTACGAATCAAAATGCAGATGCGTTGTCACCCGTGAGGACTAAGATGGAATGCCTCGTTTCCAGTAAAAAGAAGACCCTTTTCTCTCCACTTCCGGTTCTCTACACTCACCATACGAAATACAGCAGCATGCTACTATTTTACGCTGGTATTCTGTGATAGCGCGGTTCTTCCCCGGTCGAATTGACCCATTCGTGCTACAACTATACTACGTATATAACTGCAGCATAGCTCTACTACGTAGAAAATTCCATTCATTACATCTACAAATGTTCACTGCTGAACATAAGTCTATCCCGTAGATTGAATCTTATCACATAAGGGGTTGTGTCGTTATTGCCATACTTGGCACTTGGGTTGGCAACCACAATTTTTATAATTTTGGGTTTTTATCCGCCGCCGGACCTTATGGGAGATGGACCGCATCTCCTGTTCCAGTTTCTCTCTGTCACCTCTTACAATATCTCAATATCGGGTGGCGGATATTCTTTTACCACCACAACTCTTAAAATAACGTACATTAATACTAACTTAAGAAGAGTATTGTTGCGCACCTAAGTTGACGTCATGTGCCCAGCACTAGCGCCATCTAGTGTCGGGGATGAGAGCGAGGGGAGCTTTCCAGAAGATGACATCACTAATCTTTCAATCGACAGCGCCATCTAGTATCGAAACGAAGAACTAAGCTTATAGAAGCCGACACTCGAACCTTCGACGCCTTGTCGATTGGTGCGCCTATTTACTTGAATGTTCTGGATGTTTCGGTGCTAATGTGTATTTATAGGCGCTGCAAGGTGCGATCGGGGAAGTATTGAGTTCGGCGAGATAAGCGAAGCTTCGAAGCGAAATAAAGTGAATCAGTGTGGTTAATTATTAGTGTTCTAAGTTTTAATTAGTGTAAAGTGAATTAAAGAGTTAGTTTTGGTAATTCAATCGGCAGTTTTTATTGTCACGAACCCTAAGCTCGTAACAATTGGTGTCAGAATTGGGATAAAATCATGCCGATTTTACCTAAGGAGGAAACGGAGGGTGTCCGTACCCGAAGTCAACGCCAGCAGGAGATGGACCAGAGACGATTTGGTGGTGCAACGTCGCAGACGTCGGAGGGCCAGCCGCCGGCTGCAGGCCCGTCAGTAGCTCCTACATCTGCAGCACCTGACTTAGGTGCTCTGATGGTGATGCTGCAGGAGCAGGCTCGCCGACAGGATGAACAGGTCCGTCAGTTGAAAGAGCAGCAGCAGAGCGGACAGGAGGAACAGGTTCGTCAGTTGAAAGAGCAGCTGCAGAGCGGACAGGAGTAACAGGCCCGCCGATGGGAAGAGCAGATGCTCCTTGTGAAGGACATTCACGCTAACTTCGGGAAAGAGATAAGGGAGGTGAAGGATAGGGTTGCTCAACATGACAACCGCCCGTCGGAAGCTGAAACCCAAATCAAGGAAGCTAAAACCCAAATCGACCAAGTGAACAATAGGATTGATTACGTGACGGCTGACGTGAAGAAAACGCTGGATGAACTCAAACTTGGGTATGGAACTACAGCTCCCGTAGTAGCTACTACACCTTCGCTACGTGGGTTCAAGGTGCCACCATTCGACGGCACTTCTTCCTGGTCAGCCTACAAAATCCAGTTCGAGGCTGTTATAAAGGCGAACGGCTGGAATAAAGGTCAGGCCATAACTGCTCTCACACTGGGCCTGCGCGACCAGGCCTTAACAGTTCTGGAAGCTCTCGGTGAGGAAGTGACTTTTGAGCAACTCCTTGAGGAATTGGAGGCGACATATGGTGACGCCCACCTGGAACACATCTTTCGTGCGCAGCGCAGTCATTCGTAAATATTGCGTGCAGCGTATCAACGAAAACCTACAGCAGTGGGCTCTAGAGGTGGAGAAGCTGGTGTGAAAAGCATACCGGCCTGTACCTGCGCTCATTGAAGGGAACCTGGTGCAGACATTCATCGACGGCATGCGCGACCTGGAAGTCAGAGTTGCTGTGTGGCTCGGGCACCACGAGACGCTTAAAGACGCCTTAGCTCATGCACTGGAGGTGGAAGCCGTGTGGCAGGATCATCGTTCCCATCGCGTCAGGGAGGTTGCAGCAGCTACAGTTCGCGACCGCAACAAAGGATACAGCCCTAGGTGCTATGGCTGTGAGAAAAGGAGCCATCTTCGATCCAGCTGCCCTAAGCGAACTGTAGAAAGGGAAGTTGATCGATCTCGAGAGGGTAGTGCAGCTAACGCACCGCCTGGCGGTGGCAGGATCATCATTCCCCTCGCGATAGGGAGGTTGCAGCAGTTACGGTTCACGACCACAATAAAGGATACAGCCCTAGGTGCTATGGCTGTGAGGAAAGGGGACATCTTCGATCTAGCTGCCCTAAGCGAACACTAGAAAGGGAAGGTGAACGACCTCAGAAGGGAAGTGCGGCTAACATCACCGCCCAGCAGCAGCCGGGATACGACTTTACTATCAGACATCGCAGCGGGATATCTCATGGCAACGCAGATGCATTGTCAAGAAGACCTTATTCTGAATATTGGAAACATTGTACTAAGCAAGAGAGTAAGGAAGTGGTATCCGTGAGGATGCTCAGGACAGACCACCTCAGCAATGAGTGGAAGGACAGCCTACGACATGCACAGCAGGAAGATCCGGATATCAAGCCAATTCTGGAATCGATTAAGGCCCGTTCTATCAAGCCTAAGTGGAGCGACGTCTCAGCAGTGAGTTCAACCACGAAAAGCTATTGGGCCCAATGGGACAGCTTGCTGACTCAGGATGGAGTCCTATGGCGTAAATGGGACAATTGTCGAGGAGACAGCTGTCGTTAGCAAATGGTTGTCCCTAAAGCTAAAGTGCCGAATGTTCTACAGCTGTGCCATAATGGTCGTTCAAAAGTCCATCTTGGAGTTAAACGAACTCTACTGAAGGTCCGAGAACAGTTTTACTGGGTCCATTATCGTGACGATGTCGAGGATTGGTGTCGTACATGTACAAGTTGTGCGGTTGTGAGGGGACCTCAGACACGTAGTAGAGGAGCATCGAAATTGTGCAATGTTGGTGCACCATGGGATAGGACAGCCCTTGATATTGCGGAGCCGATACAGAAAGGCGCAAGAGGGACTCCTAAGATCGTCCATGTGGATCGCTTGGCGTGTTATTATGGGGCCGATAATGCTCGGGACGAGCATGTCTTAGGAGGGGACAGTGTTGCGCGCCTAAGTTGACGTCGTGTACCGGGCACTAGCGCCATCTAGTGTCAGGGACGAGAGCGAGGGGAGCTTTCCAGAAGATGACATCACTAATCTTTCAACCGACAGCGCCATCTAGTATCTAAACGAAGAACTAGGCTTCTAGAAGCCGACACTAAAACTTTCGACGCTTTGTCGATTGGTGCGCGTACTTACTTGAACGTTCTGGATGTTTCGGTGCTAATGTGTATTTATAGGCGCTGCAAGGTGAGATCGGGGAAGTATTGAATTCGGCGAGACAAGCGAGGCTTCGGAGCGAAATAAAGTGAATCAGTGTGGTTAATTATTAGTGTTCTAAGTTTTAATTAGTGTAAAGTGAATTAAAGAGTTAATTTTGGTAATTCAATCGGCAGTTTTTATTGTCACGAACCCTAAGCTCGTAACAGTATTATAAAAACTGGGCACAAAAATGGCTGATTGTAGAAAGCAATTTGAAGATACTCAGGTCAAAGTAAATTGAAGATGATCTGTAAACCACTTTATACGTTTTATTACTCGTATTTTCCGCCAGGTGGTTCAAATTTTGAAGCACGCGAAAAGTTACTGATCTGATCACGTAAAAAGCACAAAATGTTCAAATTAGTACCCGCTACTTTTAAAGGTTGATGCTGGAACTTATTAATTATCATAGTAAATGCTGGCTTTAGCAGGAATTGTAGCAATTTAAGCCGAATTAAAAAAAAGGAAGAATCTCAATTCAAGTTTAGGTACCTATCTTTTTTTGTATGTGTATTATTCGATATCTTCGTTTGTCGGGGATCGATTTTGAATTTTTTTTTATTAATTGGTTATATTTTAGGAATTGTTGCAAAAAAAAAAAAAACTAGAAAAAATCCACCCCAAAAAGTGAAAAAATGTGGTATGACATAGTGATTTCTTACACTGGGTCCTTACTTTGATCTGAAGTATCTCCTCTTTGGTTGAGAATTCCAAATTCAAATTTATAAATTCATATAGTTGGTACATTTAAATTTTGAAAACAGTCATTCATTTGTTTTTTCCTCATTATTTTTTTCTTTGACGTCGCTTATTACCGCACAATGGAAAACACG